ATCACTGTAACGTGCTTATTTTGATTACGGTGTGCTCTTTATTTGGTGGTATGGTTTAATGATATATCTTGGTAGAATTTAATTTACATTAAAATGAAGGCCAATAACAATACTAAAGATGGTTTTTGGTACAAATTTTCATACGGACATTTTTCCGAATTTTATATTTAAATTTAGAAAACATGTACTAAAGCCCTTTGACAACAAAGCTGCTTTTGTAACAATTACTGTGAACACCTACTTTAATCATGAAAAATAACTGATTTTTTCCTACAAAGTAGTTATTAAATTGTTGACATTAATTTTTCTTTTTATGAATCAAAATGTGTAACTTTTTCAAAGATTTTAGAGTCAAAAGAATATTTGTAGATAACAGTTATAATTTCATGTTAAATCCTAAATTGTTTGGTGGGGGTCTGGCGACGCGTATATGCCTTTTTTATATCCCTTCAGATGTGTTCAGAGAATAAAGAGCTCAGGAATGATTGTGTTTATGTCATTGAGCACGTCAGTGACTCGATGAGGAAAGGAACCGGGTCAGGGAAGTATTTATATGGTAGAAGAAATGTAGGTAAAGGAATAGAAGTTTAAAGTTATCATATGTCAGATTGGAATTTTTCAGGGGGATAATTTATGTTCTAAACATAAAAATCCAGGGAAATTTTAAGTAGTTAAACTTTACTCAGACCCCTGTCAGATGATCACAGATTCTGAATTAGTCAGCTTTCATTTAACATGGTTCTGTGTAGTTTCCCTTCCCCCTTGGTTTATTTTCTCTCTACACCAGGTGGATTAAAGAGCATGTTGGTCACATATTTAGGAATTTAGCTACCGTTTAGTTTCTGTTGGTAAGTTAAAGAGTGTTCCTAAATATTTTAAAGAAGAATTGCTAGAAGGTATATGACATTCTTGCTTTGCGAATTTTAAGTTCAGAATTCATTTATTTTGATTAGGACATTGACAGCTTGGGAAATAAACAGTTTTTCTGTCAAGGGTTGACAAAGGAGTGTTGGAATATGGGAAGCTTAGACACATTTTCAGAGCAGTAGATGCATATTGTGTTTGTTTCACAAGAAGGCAAGCTCTAGTTATGATGTACCCAATAGGTTTCATTTAAGAAAAGTGTTATTTCTTTTAATCAATTTTTTAAATTGATCTGTTTATGATACTTAAAAATTCTTTTTAAAAATAATTGGTCACCTATTGAAAGGACAAAGGGAAAAGATTTGTCTAAAGCTTTGCATTAATCATAGAAGCCAGGTCATGGAGGTTTGATGAAGCTGAGGGCGTGGCCCCTGCATGGTGACTGGCCTCAAGACTAAACAAGTCCTCCTAAATGTCACCTCAGCCTCAAGCAGCTTTCATTGTATCTTGTGTGTGCCGGGGGCCTAGGGAGTGTGTGGCTGATACCGGAAGTATGCAAACAAATCTAGCCTGACTAGATTGAACCTTCTGGGACAGAGAACGTGTCATCTTTTGTAATACTAGTACATGGCATATAGTTGTCCTGAGATGGAAAAATACATAAAGACATGTCTCTTAAGCAAAATTCAAAATTGAGGCATATAAAAAAACAACTTTGGGACTCAGCATGGTGTGGAAAGATCAAACTTTGGAGGGAGACGACACAGTCATGGACCAGGTAGTAATAAAGCGCAGGAGCTTGGCCAAGCCGCTTCACCTTTTCTGAGCGTGTTTCCTCGCTGGTAGAGTCAGGGTGATGATTCCTTCTGCTGCTTTATGGCGTGGATTAACTACATGGAAGTTCCAGTACAGTGTGTACAATAAAATGTCAAATATTAATTTTTAAAATGAACCCTTATAATGGCATTTATTGAAAGCCTATATGTACTATCTTACACCATTTGTTGAGTTTTGTTGTTTTGTGCAAATTAATGATAATTTTAATTTTTAAAAATTTTTATAATTTTAGTTTTGTGAAATGTTTTCTGTTTTTCTTTAGTGTTGAAAGTTTCTTTTCCCAGTAGGAAAACAAGTTCCACATACGGACTTTGTTTTATTGTGATAATACTTTTTTCAGGACTATTTTTGTTTAGGAATACATACAGATTGTCTTTTTAAAAATAGCAACTCATGTCTTTGATGGTGATTATATTGCTATAGCAAGAAAAAAAAAGAGCATCTTGGGAAGAAACTTTCTTGGTACTAATGTGATTTTGAAGTATGTCCTTGCCTAGTGGCTTTAACCTGTGAGTGAAGAGACTGTTTGTGACCACCCTGACTTGCAGTCACTTGAGTCTGTGTTCACAGAGAGCAATGCTAACCTTCAGCCAAGTTGTTCTGTGGCTGTTAAAGTATCTTGATATTATTTGAGGCTTCCCAAAGCCAAGACTTTTTCATTATACCCCAGAAATCAAATTATTACCTATTGCTTTACTGAAGAGGTGAGAGTGATTGTAGAGATGAAACAATATTACCTTAAAGATAAAAATCCT